CTAATTTTGTTTCAATAAGGGTAAAATGGTCATTAAAAATTAAAAGAGGGCAAACTTAAAAATGGACCCTCAAATGGGGCATTTTTGAAAAGGGGTATTGAAAAAAGGGCATTTTTAACAATTTCTCAATATTCTTTCTGTTTATTTTATATGTTGTTTATATGTTGTTTATATGTTGTTTATATGTTGTTTTGACAAATAGATTAAGAAATCATTTAATTTTCTGTTTTTTTTTTTCTATTTTAAATTATGTTTAATTATCTATTTAAAAAAATTCAACTAATGAAAAAAAAATGCAGAATTTTAAGAGTCAAAAATAATAAATTGATAATAAAATTTATACTAAAAATTGAAAAGAACAAAAGTAAAACTATATTTTTTTGCTAGAAGAACACTTATTAAGAAACATAAGGAGTATATGATTTTTTTTCAAAGTTTACTTTTAATTCATTAATCTCTAATAATAATAAAATTTCTTGTATATTTTCTTATATACATATATATTTATTTAATGTTTTCGTTAGTTCTTTTTGTGTTACAATTTTTTTTTTGTGAAAGACGATAAATCTACAAATGTTGAGTTAATTGAATGATTAATTATGTCATACCAAAAAAAATTGAATGATTAATTATTATTTTTGATGTGATTTTTAAATGATGAAGATGAGGAAATCTTTTGGACTACCTGCATGGGCCATACCCAGCCCCGGCTTAGAAGGGTAGGGCGGAGGTGCGACGGCCCGGAGCTTTTTTTTTCAAAAAAAAATTTACATTTAAAAAAGGCCCAAATATTTTCTAAAAATATTATTAATATGAAAATTCTATTTTAAAAGGCCTAATTTTTTTATAAGAAAATGTATAAAAAGACCCAAAAATTTTAAAATAACAATTTTTACTATAAAAAATACGTAAATTTTTCAAAAAATTAAGTAAATTTTTTCATTATATATAATAATAGGCCAAAAAAATTTTTTTTGCCCTAAGACTTCCAAATATATTGAGCCGGGGCGGGCCATACCTAATAATCAGCTTATAGCGATTGCCGATTGATATAGATTTATCAACCGACTAATTAACAATAAATAATTTAAAATGCGATTTGAATGATTTGGTCCACGTTAACGACAACAAATTCACGTAGCTAGCCAACAAAATATTTTATTAAAGCATAAATGAACTACCACTGTTTTGTTTAATGTTTGATATCGCTATTTAAAAAAATAAACAATCACAAGCTTGGTCACCAATTTGATATATATATCCGATATACTGTTGTTATTAAAACTAATTCTCAATTATAACACAAAACAGGCGCCTAACTTGCGCATGGAATTTTATTACACAATTATTCGTAGAATCACCTAACGAATTGACTTCTACGCCAACGTGCGTCCATGCATCTGAAGAGCCTTCTTCAATCATACACACCCATGAATTGGCACATATACGTTCATGTATATGAGATTATGAGTTCACGCACACATTACATGTATGTAGATTCAGGTATCGCTAAGAGCATAGAGAGAGTTGCGAAAAAATGGGGGCAAAAAACAATAATTCGAGCAGGAGAATTTTTATGTTTTATCTTATACTAATAACATTGTCGTTTTTGGGTTTGGTCCTAAACTTTAAACCTCTGTTTCTGCTCAATCCCATGATCAAATCTCCTTCGATAGTAGAGATTCGTTATTCTTTGCCGGAACCGGTTAACCGGCACCCGATATGGCTCCGACTCATCAGAAACTATCTTCCGGATGAGAAAAAGATCCGGGTGGGTCTTCTCAACATCGCAGTGAACGAGCGAGAGAGCTACGAGGCAAGCGGGACGTCGATCTTGAAGAATGTCCACGTGTCGCTCGATCCTCTTCCGAACAATCTGACGTGGGAGAGATTATTCCCGGTTTGGATCGACGAGGATCACACGTGGCACACTCCTAGTTGTCCAGAAGTCCCTCTCCCTAAGATGGAAGGAATCGATGCTGACGTAGACGTGGTCGTTGTCAAAGTTCCATGCGATGGTTTCTCGGAGAAGAGAGGGTTAAGAGACGTTTTCAGGCTACAGGTGAATCTGGCGGCAGCGAATCTTGCGGTGGAGAGTGGTTGGAGGAATGTTGATCGGATGGTGTACGTTGTCTTCATCGGATCATGTGGGCCTATGCATGAGATCTTTAGGTGTGACGAGCGCGTGAAGCGCGTGGGGGACTATTGGGTGTATCGGCCTGATCTTACCAGGTTGAAGCAGAAGCTTCTCATGCCTCCTGGTTCATGTCGGATTGCTCCGCCAGGTATTTTTAATTACATTATTCATAGTTTATTTCTACATCAACAAGTTTCCTTTATTTATTTATTTATTGCAATATGATCACATAATGCATAGTTAAAAAATATTCCAATGTTTTTGTTGATTAAAAGCAGTAAAATGATAACAAAAAGTTCCGATATATGATTAACCAATAACATTTTTTTCAACTAAGTACTATTTCTCATTCGTTGTTAAAGGTCAAGAAGAAGCATGGATACAAGACAAGAACAAAAGTCTCACATCCACAAAAACTACATTATCATCAATTACTGCCCAACGTGTCGCTTACGTGACGTTACTACACTCATCGGAGGTCTACGTATGCGGGGCAATAGCCTTAGCACAAAGCATAAGGCAATCTGGATCAACCAAGGACATGGTACTCCTCCACGATGACTCCATAACAAACAGTTCTCTCATTGGCCTAAGACTTGCCGGCTGGAAACTACGGCGAGTAGAGAGAATCCGTAGCCCTTTCTCCAAGAAACGTTCTTACAATGAGTGGAACTACAGTAAGTTACGTGTGTGGCAAGTGACAGATTACGATAAGCTAGTGTTCATAGACGCAGACTTCATCATCGTCAAGAATATTGATTACCTTTTCTTCTATCCTCAACTTTCTGCCGCTGGCAATAACAAAGTCATGTTCAACTCCGGAGTCATGGTAATGCATCTAATTAACAATTTCTTTAGCGATACATATTGCTTGATTCGAGTAGGTTTTTAGATTCAAGTTTCTAAAGATAATTGTCTTGTGGAAACTCTCTACCATGCATATAGACTTAATAGTCAATTTGTTTTTTTGATTTTTTTTGTCAACAAGATTTGCTATCTATATCTATCTAAGAAACACTGGTTTCTTCAGGTTCTGGAGCCATCAGCTTGCTTGTTCGAGGATTTGATGCTCAAATCATTCAAGATTGGGTCTTACAACGGGGGAGACCAAGGATTTCTGAACGAATATTTCGTGTGGTGGCATAGGTTATCAAAACGTTTAAATACGATGAAATACTTCGGCGATGAAAGCAGGCATGATAAAGCACGCAATCTTCCAGAAAATTTAGAGGGCATCCACTACTTGGGACTAAAACCATGGCGATGTTACAGAGACTACGATTGTAACTGGGACTTGAAAACGCGACGTGTGTATGCAAGCGAGTCGGTGCATGAGAGATGGTGGAAAGTGTACGACAAGATGCCCAAGAAGTTGAAAGGTTATTGTGGTTTGACTCTTAAGATGGAGAAGAACGTTGAGAAGTGGAGGAGAATGGCTAAGCTCAGTGGTTTTCCTGAAAACCATTGGAAGATTAGAGTAAGAGATCCTAGGAAGAAGAACCGTCTGAGTCAATGAGAAGAGTAATCATAAAGTTGCTTATTCAACAAGAGACTTTTTTTTTTGTTCTTTTGACGTAGAGAGAGACACAGATTTTGAAGGGGAATTTCTATCAGGCAATTGTGGATTAAGAAGGAAAAAATCATAGTATAGTAAATGGTAAAACAACTAAAAGTTAGTCATATCTCGTCGAATGATTTGAACTAGGAAAAATACTTAAAAAAAAAAAAAAAAAAAAAAAAACTAGGAAAAATACTTCTAACGACGACTAAAAAACCTCTAAAGACACCTAAATTCGATGATAAAATGAGAAATGAATACAAATATTAATCATAATGAGAAATGAATACAAATATTAATCATACTTTTTATGAAAGATTTGGAATAATAATGCGTAATTTAAGTAAAGTAAATTTTCTCTATTCAAAATATAATATCGATGCCTTTTTTCCCTCTCACTCGTTAACACACTTTTGTGCCGACCGATGAAACAAAAGAGTCACAGTGAAACCCATCTTCTTCTTCCCTAATCGTTCAAATGCAAGATTTCTTCGGCTCCGTTCGTCGATCGCTTGTTTTCCGTCCTACTTCCGACGACGATAACCAGGAGAATCAGCCTCCATTACCCGGTCTCCTCGCCGATAAGATCACCTCCTGCATCCGCCAATCGAAGATTTTTATCAAACCCTCCTCCTCGCCTCCTCCTCCTGCTAACACCGTAGACATGGCACCTCCGATTTCGTGGAGGAAAGGTCAGTTAATTGGTCGCGGCGCGTTCGGTACGGTGTACATGGGTATGAATCTTGACTCCGGCGAGCTTCTCGCCGTTAAACAGGTAATTTAGGGTTTGGTTTTCTGATTGCGGTGGATTTGAAGCTAATTGGGACTTAAATTTGAATTACGTAATCCTCTCGCAGCCTATTTTGTTGAAATCTATACTTAACTTCAAAAGCTTTGTTCTACTCAGGTTCTGATTGCAGCCAATCTTGCTTCCAAGGAAAAAGCTCAGGTTCCAATTCATTTATGGTTTATACTGATTCTTTTGTTGTTGTTGCATATCTACTTCATTGAGTTTTCCCTTTTTCAACTTCCATTGATTTTTGTACTTCATTGAATTTGTTTTCTGTCTTGGTGCTAAGTAGGCTCATATTCAGGAGCTTGAAGAAGAAGTTAAGCTTCTTAAAAATCTCTCCCATCCAAATATAGTTGTAAGTAACTATTGGTAGTGTCTTCTTCTCGATTCATATGGATCCAGCACTTCCTTGTGTTATCTAACTCATGTAGTTTTTTCTTGGCTTTAGAGATATTTGGGTACAGTGAGGGAAGATGATACGCTGAATATCCTTCTCGAGTTTGTTCCCGGTGGATCTATATCATCGCTCTTAGAGAAATTCGGACCTTTCCCTGAATCAGTAAGTCATGCTTGGATTTAGTTTTTTGATCTCTTAGAATGTTTGCAGTGCTTAAATGTTGAGAAGTATTGAATTAGGTTGTCCGGACATACACGAGGCAGCTGCTTTTAGGGTTGGAGTATCTGCACAATCATGCAATTATGCACAGAGACATTAAGGTAGCAATTTTTCTCCATGCTTTGTAAGTGCTTACGGTCTCAAGTCATTGCCCATGAGATTCTATGTTTCTTCTGTTCTCAGGGGGCTAATATCCTTGTGGATAATAAAGGATGCATTAAACTTGCTGATTTTGGTGCATCTAAACAAGTAGCTGAGTTGGTAAGCCAAATAATTTGTTTTCTACAACCTACATTGCAGGGAAAGTTCTGTTCTGTGTATACACTTATTTCTCAGTTGGTCTAGTACAACATATTCTTCATAGTGATTGAATGTGATTGACATGATTTCATCTCTAGGCTACGATGACTGGTGCAAAATCTATGAAAGGGACACCATATTGGATGGCTCCGGAAGTTATTCTTCAAACTGGACATAGCTTGTAAGCACCCAATCGTGCTCGTAGATATAAAACTAGATGTTTTGTAACTGATATCTCATATAATTGTGGCTATTATTTGTAGTTCTGGTGTGTATATTCCATAATTTTGATTTCTCACAAACCTGTGGCTATTATTTTCAGCTCTGCTGATATATGGAGCGTAGGCTGTACAGTTATTGAAATGGTAACTGGGAAGGCTCCTTGGAGTCAGCAGTATAAAGAGGTAATTTGTTTCGTATTCCTGGTGATGATTTTTGTGAAGAATTTTGCTCCTTAATTACAGGTGGACATACTTCCTTTTTAGGTTGCTGCTATCTTCTTCATTGGAACAACAAAATCACATCCTCCAATACCTGATACTCTCTCCTCTAATGCAAAAGATTTTCTGCTCAAGTGTCTGCAGGAGTAAGCTACTTTGCTTCAGCAACATTAGTTTGGAACTTTTAATAGTAACTTCCTTCACTACTATTGTGTCTTGTCTTTGGAATTGCTGAATCATTGACCCGTCTTGACAGGGTACCAAATCTGCGGCCAACCGCATCTGAGCTACTAAAGGTGAACTATAAACAGTTTAAGTGACGCCCTCAATACCAGATTGGAAAGTTTTGAGTAAAATTCCTGATTTTGTTTTATTCGCAGCATCCTTTTGTTATGGGAAAACACAAGGAATCTGCTTCTACTGATCTTGGTTCTGTCATGGTGGGTGGATGTTACCCATCTTATGAATATCATATAACATTTTCCTGAAGCCATCTTGATAAGATTATTTTGTTCTTTTCCAGAACAATCTTAGTCCTCCACTACCGTTACAGATAAATAACACTAAGAGCACGTAAGTTCTGAAAATCAAATCTGGCTGAAACCAAAAGTACTAAGATGAATTTGTGGGTTTGTGAAAGATTTTGACGGTTTATTGCCTGTTTCCTTTGTTTCAGTCCAGATTCTACATGCGACGATGTAGGTGACATGTGTAACTTGGGCAGTTTGAATTATTCACTTGTAAATCCTGTGAAATCAATGCAAAACAAAAATTTATGGCAACAAAATGATAATGGAGGTGATGAAGACAATATGTGTTTGATTGATGATGAGAATTTCTTGACATTTGACGGAGAGATGAGGCCTACCCTTGAAAACAATTGTGATCTGAAGAAGGTAAGCATACATATAATTTCTCATTTAGAATTTAAGTCTCAACTCTTGTTTGGATCATGTTTCAATTTGTGTTGTGAGCATCACTTATAAAATCTATGTGTACAGAGCTATGATGCAATAAGCGATATGTCTATTGCTTTGAAGTCCAAATTTGACGAAAGTCCTGGTAATGGAGAGAAAGAGACTACAATGAGCATGGAATGTGACCAACCTTCATACTCAGAGGATGATGATGAGCTGACCGAGTCAAAAATTAAAGCTTTCTTAGATGAGAAGGTGCCTCATGCACTGTATACTACATTTTTCATTGTCCTCACTGCATTTGTACGTAAATCACTAACATGGCAGTGAATATATACTTCTCTCAGGCTGCAGATCTAAAGAAGTTACAGACGCCTCTTTATGAAGAATACTACAATAGTATGATCATATGCTCTCCCAGTTGTATGGAGAGTAATTTATGTAACAGTAAAAGAGAGGAAACTGCTCGTGGTTTCCTGAAACTGCCTCCAAAAAGCAGGTCACCGAGTCGGGGTCCTCTTGGTGGTTCACCTTCAAGAGCAGCAGACACAACTAGTTGTTCCAAGAGCCCAGGAAGTGGTAGTAGTCGTGAATTGAATATTAACAATGGAGGTGATGAAGCTTCACAGGATGGTGTATCAGCTCGGGTCACAGACTGGAGGGGTCTCGTTGTTGACACTGGGCGGGAATTAAGCCAGAGGTTAGTCGCTCAAGAGCTAATTCTGTTTGGAATTTAAGTTTTAAGGATTTAGACATTTCCTTCAATTACTCTTAGGCACTCGGTAGGAATCAAGAAGCCATAACTAAGTCCCATGCTTGTCTTAAGCTATGATCGCCCTCCATGTCGTATAATTGTTTCATTTTGGCTTTTCACACCAGTGCTGACAGTATGTCGGCCATATGAGAATTAGTAATCACAAATGCGTCCTAACATCTAGAGTTTAAGGATTTCAAAGCTACCGTCCTGCTCCTTTAAAATTCAGCCTAGCCATTGATTGACCAGCAACAATTTCAATTTTTCCCTTAGTGTAGGCTTCTTGTTTCATTCCTTCATCAGCTTGACTTGGCTGGTTTCGGCTTTGCAGTGTTGCTCTGTCAGAGATAGAGAAGAAGTGGAAGGAAGAGCTTGACCAAGAACTGGAAAGAAAGCGACAAGGTAAGTCGCTTTTGTGACATTTATGATTGTACACTGCACGTTTCCTGTGGTCTTCACAATTTTCTTGATCAATAGACAATACTATTTTATGGTAATTATGGTAGCTTGCTTTGTTGCTGATACCGTTTACTAATCTAGCAAAAGATGTTAAAGATGCTCTTAAGTTTTACCTTTTTTAGAATGGTGGCTTTGCATTGACCACTGTTAACATGCAATGATGTAATGTTGAGAAACATGATATACTAGTATCAACTTTGTGTAAGCTTAGTAAATCAATTAGTTGACTTTAGTATATGTTGTTGCAGAAATCATGCGCCAAGCAGGGTTGGGATCATCCCCAAGAGACAGAGGCTTGAGCCGACAGAGAGAGAAGTCCAGGTTTGCATCACCAGGAAAATGACATGTACAAAATGTCTCCTTGTCTCTCATGCAAGACTTGCCAGAAACAGTAGAGAGGCTTTTGATTTTTGATTGCTCAACTAGTATATATATATGTAACTTATTTTGATGTGATGAAAAGTAGACTCGAGGTTTGATCTGAATATATGATTCTGAGCAGGTTGTTGAAGGTAATGTGAGTGTCGGGTGCATATTTAAGTGCGCTACAAATGGCAAAACATGTGCAAGTTTCTTTTATTGAAAGGTTTGAGAGTATGTTACAAAAACACGATACATAACTTGTCTCAACCAAAAACACTAAACCTATCAGGGTAGTTCCATCCCTGAAGCATAACACGAGGAGACTTCTTCATGCCTGTAGGAGCTGCAAATGAGATCTTAAAAGACATTGATTCACCTGGAACTAGTGAGAAATAGTTGTCTGAGTAGTGTACTGGCAGAATTCTCGTGTCTTGTTTCTCTGTCTCTGCATTGTGGACTGAAAAACGAAGGAAGAAA